TTTCGATTTCTCCACATTCACTTTTAAACCTGTAACACCTTCAAAACCAACAATTACATCCTCCACCTCATGTAAAACTTTCCTCCCTGCTCATTTAGAATTTGTGTATCATCCACAACCCTATTATTCCCAGTCCCACCATTCTCACACACCCACGTACCACCACCCCTAAACATCGCCCCACTGCCCTATAAAAGGGTCTGTATACAAGTGCAAACAACAGTTGAGACAGATGACCCTACCCTGCCTTATGCACTCTACCCATTGAAACCCCACTCACCCAATTTCCCATCACCTGCACACGTACACCTACCCGATTATTCAAAGTCTCCAATCCAACTACCATCCTCTTCCCCAAAACCCTCCTCCAGTAAGATATGCCACAGTGCCTTTCGTTCTAAAAACGCAATCATAACGCAGCCTGCCAGTCCAATGCTAAGAACAACCTCCCCCCCCCTTTCCATTCTCCCCCTCCATACTTTCCACAAAATCTTTATTATTCCTCCCTCAATACATCGTCCTTCTCCAGGCACCCCATACTGACCTCTCGCAACAACTCTAATCTATCACCACTTCAGCCTGTTCCCCAAGATTTTTGCGAATATCTTATAACAGACATAACAACGACAAACGCCCTTAGTTCTGCACTGTAGTAAGGGCCTCCCCCTTTGGAATCAATACTACTACTGCAGTACGCGCAACTCCGTACTCCTGCCCCTCACTTTCATCACATCATACAGGTTCACTAAAAAAAATCCTTCAACACACTCCTATTCTTCACATAGATTCACAAGGTAACCCATCTATACCTGGCGCTTTTAACCCTCTCGCCCATATTCTCCAACACTCTCTCCATACCTCGCGCCCTCTTCAATATCCCCACCCAATGCCATACGATCACTTCCACTCAGCACAACAAGATACATTCATCTCCCAATCTCTCTAAATCCTCACCGTTCACGATCCTACACACCTCAAATATTTTCCAAACCAAATATCCATAAAAACCACTCATACCCTCAGTAGTTCTCACTCCTGACCCTTCGTAACCCACCTAAGTCCTCGTTACTACCAGCTTATCATTTCCATTGCCAACCTGCGTCTCCGCTGACTCCCGTAACACACAGGCTGACGGCCTGTCACCCCAAAACGCCTCCTCTATCTAAACCCCCTTGCCCCTCGCCTCATCAAATCCTCTCATTGTGCATATCCCTTATCTTCTGCCACTTTAATGCTTCCAATTCTCCATGGATACACACCTGTCACAGCACCCCACTGATAACAACCCTGCAAAAACCGCCCCTCTAAATACTGTTGAAGCCATATGTCATCCATGCCTCATTCTTTCCCCTTTCGCACATAGTATTGCCTGATCCTCGTCTTTGACAACCCCATCATACCACCACGCCCATAAATCGCTTGCACTCTACCCCCACCCCATAAGTCCTCCCACAGAACTTTCATCAAAATCCCCCTCCCTCCCTCCACCCCCTCACCCAGTAGTCCGTACATTCAGCTTCCAGAACCACCAAATATCACTTAGGCAAACCGTCCCAATTTAAATCAGCATAAACCGCCCTATGATTCTAATAAAACGACATTCACCGTCTGCACCCGGTCACCCTCACTCCCCTTGTCACATACAACCGTATCTAATCGTGGCAGCATATCCCATTTCTATGAAAAGTGTGCTCTATCCCGCAATCATCCCCTTCCATCAACTATATCCTCCCTCAATCCCACACCCTCAATAGATTCCCCTAAACCTGCCAAAAAACACCCTGCCCCTCTCGGTTCCACATCCTTCCTGCGCACCACGACTTTCCTCGCACCAACTATTGTCCACAGACGTAAAGACCGCAAATAATATACCAATACGTTATTCCAAATCCATTCTTTTAAACCCTTACATCTTCTCAGCCGGCACATACACACAAATACTGCCATCATCATCCGTCCTCAACCTCTCCACCCACCCCATCTATTCTTAACACAACGACCGCCCCCCCCTTCACTCCTAGAACAACAAAACGGGCTCGTCTCATGGATCAGGATCCCACCCACCCCCCCCTTCAATTCGCTCCGAATACAATCACAATACACTCTGTACCCATCCACCTCCAATTCTTTCCAAACTTGAAATTTATGTTCACTGCACAAAACATGTTCTATAGCATAACGTCTTAAAAAATCACTTTACCCACAGACGCTTCTCACAAAATCGCACACAATCATAATATTCACTGGTCATGCACCGGAAACCTACTTAGTGAATTCACACACTCTGCCCCTTTTCACCCTTTCACTGACACGTCTTCAGTGTGTCTGCTGCTCCACTTTTCTCTCCACTTGCCCACTGGTGGCTTCCCCTTATCCAACACCGATCAGGCGTACCTTTGTGCTCCCACGCACCACAATCAACCCATGGCTTTTTCTCTCCCGGTCTCTTGTCCGGGTCAAAACATCATCAGAGTCTGAATATGTCGCCCGCCCTCTTAGTTGACACACTCTGGCATCCATTTCCAACTCACTGGATGCCTCCCTGTGAATCTTCAGCAGTCACTCAATTACTTCCACCCACTACCTGGCGAGTTCATCTGCCATGTTCGCCAATCTTTCCAAGTGCTCTCATCGTCAATCTGACATTACTCCCACCATGCATTAAGTTATCCTCAGGCAACTTGCTTCTCTCAAAAGGATTTTCCTGCACGTTCACTCAGTAGTCCTTCCTCTACCCCGCACGTCCACCAATCTGCACAGTCTTCCCGTTCTCCATGGCAGATGCCTCACTTCCCTCCAACTGTGACAGTGAGGGCCTGGTACCCACCAGTGGCAGCTCACGCTCCACTTCCTCACTCCAGGAAGTGCCACGTCTAGTACAAGGTGCCTCTCAGCATACCCACCCTCTGGTTCCTGGCTTTTCACCTTCTCACTAGCCTAGGTCCTTTCTTCCGCTGCCATCTCCACATGGGCCGCCATATGGGTCATATGCACCACATAACCTACACGTCTTTCTCCGCCCAGCGTAGTACACCATTACCATGTGTCCTAAATGCGTCCAGTATGACGATAAGACGGATGGCATGCCTCAACTCCATCCTTGATTGTGAACGTACCAATCGGCTTGCCGGCATACCCCAATCCGTACCATTTAACCGCCGCCATAGCCAGGTGTACAGGTCCATACTGTTCAAAAACATACCGCAGATCATTCTCGTCCGCCTCAAATGGCACATTTCGGATTTTCACCCATGTGTAATGCTTCGACACGTCGATTAGGCGAACACGTATCGCTGAATTAACATCCACGCTCCTGTCCTGGTACTTGTCAACCAGCCGTTCATACACTCCAGCTGAACTTAGCTTGACGAAAATACGATAGGCACCATTTAGTGCCACACCATACAGTTCTTGATCCGCAACACCATAGGTGTCACGGATAATTTGCGGTAAAAGCACTTGTGCAGACTGAGGCGTTATTGCACCACGCAATAATTCAATGCACACTGTGTGCAAACGCCTTCTCACAGACTGCGCCATGTTGTGAAAATATGTCTTCTCCAATGGCCAGCAGAGGGCAGTAGTCACACGTCCGCACTCTGCGCAGGTCAAGCGGCGAATGTGGGAAGGATATGAGTTGCGTGAATATGAGTTTGAGCATGAATGTTTTTTAGTTGTTATGGATGTGTGGTTGTAGATTCAGGGGTTAGGGTTACTTATTGTACCTTTTGTGTACAAAATGACTGGGGTGCCTTTACATATTTGTTATATTTTTGATGCTTCCTTTGTGTAAAGACTCGTTGTATTCTTGAGTCACTAGTTTTCTTAGTTTTGTTTTTGATTGTGTTATGGAGGTCCAGATATTTGGGCATATGAACGTGCATATATATGTGTATATGTATATATGTGTATGTGTATATGTATGTGTATATATATATATATATGTGTGTATATATATATATATGTGTATAATATATATATATATGTGTATAATATATATATATGTGTATAATATATATATATATATATGTGTATAATATATATATATATATATGTGTATAAATATATATATTATAAAATATATATATATATATATATATATATATATATATATATATATATATATATATATATATATATATTATACACACACATTATAATATATATATATATATATATATATAATATATATATATATTATACACATATATATATATATATATATATGATATATATATATATATATATATATATATATATATATATATATATAATGTATGTATGTGTATATATGCATGTTTTATCCCTTCCCTGTTACTGTTCAATTAGTCTGTGAGTCACCCAAGTATTAAAGGGATATAACACATGTACATTACCCTGAGTTATCCAGTTGTATTCTATAAATATGTAGCAACATTATGATTTTTGTTTGTGATTCAAACGTAGTTCATAGGTATCAAGATTGAACACTTATGGAATGGATGGAAATTGCTGACGATTAATATGATCGTCAATTTATATAATATTTATTATGTTAATGAATTTGTGTTAGAGTAAATCATTGAATTTGTGTCTAAGTTGGAATTTCTATAATCAATTGTATATTTTGTATGCAAATTACATAAACTATTGTTTAAACATCAATGTAACATGTTTGTATGATGTGCATGTAGGTTATAATGGGTTAAGTGGTGTTTCCACCAGTGTTATATTTGTTACGCAGTTATATCTTTTGGTATTGTTTAGTGAAACGTACGTATGCATTTTATGGTGTGTTTATCGTATTAGTTAAAGATTGGTATTTATGGTGTGTACCTCGTTGTACTCTATAGATTATGTATGGTGATGCTATTTAATTTTTAAGCAGCCTTGTATTTATGATGTTTTAAATAAAATATAAAAAAAAAAAAGACCTCCCTCACAAATTTCACCCCATTTATGCACACTGCTTCCTGTTTGAAGTGATGTCACTGTCATGCCCCTATGGTTAACCTTCCTTTAATATTACATTGCGGTTATTTCCTTTAATAGCTAAATTGGAAATGAACGTCCTTGTATTATTAAGGCTCATTCTTGTTACATAAATCATAATTGTTAATATGGCCATGATAAGTTTAATTGGAGGTATAGTAACCTGCCTGCCGCCCGGTGTGCCGGTGTATGGTTAGCCGTGATGTTCGATGGTTATACCCCCCCTTCCCCCCCCTTTATGTTCAACTACTCTACTGAGGGTTGGTGAGTCACGTCACGTGACCCACTTTACCTGTATGCTCAAGGTTGAGGGACGAGCAGTGAAGAAGTAGCAGCCAACGAGAACACTCCTGCTCGTCTCTGGTAACTGGCCAAGGTTTATTAGCCGGCCTGGACATATTCTGTTTTATTCTGACTGCTTCCAATTGGGAAACAAGACTTTAATGTATAAAGTAATCTCCATTTGTATATGTTATATCTAGGATCTCCTCCTAATCATCATCTGTTATGAAAGCCTTATATATATATTTTGGATAATATAGAACAAACATGCATTCTTAACTTATATACGATAATTCGTATATTATTTCTGGCTTTTGTTGTATTATGAATATACTTAATTAAAATTAGGCATTCCGGAGGATCACTATTATTACCCTAACCTCTCTGACCAAAATTATGCTCTAAAAAGGAGGAAATAGTGGTTACAATACTTGGAGTGTAACAGTCACCACAGTTGTTCAATATGTTTATAGACTGGATTGTAAGAGAAGTGAAAGCTCGGGTTTTGACACGAGATGTAGGATTACAAGATAAAGATTCTAACACAAAGTGGGAGTTGTCACAGTTGCTCTTTGCTGATAACACTGTGCTTTTGGGAGATTCTGAAGAGAAGTTGCAAAGGTCGGTGGACGAGTTTGGTAGGGTAGGTAAAAGAAGGAAATTAAAAGTAAACATAGGAAAGAGTAAGGTGATGAGGATATCAAAAAAATTAGGTAATGATATATTGGATATCAAACCAGAGGGAGAGAGGGAGTATGGAGGAAGTGATTGTATACAGATATTTGGGAGTGGACTTGTCAGCACATGGGTCTATGAAAGACGAGGAGAATCATAGAATTGATGTGGGGGGAAAAAGGTGATTGGTGCACTGAAGAGTATGTGGAGACAACGTTAGCCATGGAAGCAAAGAGAGTAATATATGATGGTATAGTTATACCATCATTCCTATAGTGATAATAATAGTAGTGGTGACAATATTACCTGAAGTTTACCTGGAGAGGGTTCCGGGGGTCAACGCCCCCGCGGCCCGGTCTGTGACCAGGCCTCCTGGCGGATCAGAGCCTGATCAACCAGGCTGTTGCTGCTGGCTGCACGCAAACCAACGTACGAGCCACAGCCCGGCTGATCAGGAACTGACTTTAGGTGCTTGTCCAGTGCCAGCTTGAAGACTGCCAGGGGTCTGTTGGTAATCCCCCTTATGTGTGCTGGGAGGCAGTTGAACAGTCTCGGGCCCCTGACACTTATTGTATGGTCTCTTAACGTGCTAGTGACACCCCTGCTTTTCATTGGGGGGATGGTGCATCGTCTGCCAAGTCTTTTGCTTTCGTAGTGATAGTGATGATAAAGTAGTGATAAAGTAGTAATAATATAGTGATAACAATAGTGATAGTGATAATAGTAGCAGTAGTGATAATATTAAAATTATTGCAACTTATTTATTATTACTGTTATTGTATTAACAATATCATCATCAAAATTTCTAGAATCGTTGTAACTAAATTAATCACATAGATTAATTAAAACTGAGTTTTATACATTACCTTGCAGAACGGGTCAACGGCGACGGAAATAGATCAAGAAAGCTCAAGATGATTAATAACATGACACAACGTAATTAACATAGGACAGAAGAACAGGCAACACATGATAACAGAAAAGGTAACTCAGAACAGAAAAGCAATCAGCACAAGACAACACAACAGACAACGTAAACTAAAAGCAAAATGTCTGAGGAATCCTGCAAATGTCCTGTGAACTCCACAGAATCTCTGCCCACAGTAAGTGCAGTGTACATGCCACGAAAGTGTTTATTTTATTTATAAGTGGTCTTTGTATATATGTCGTGCCGAATAGGTAAAACTGGTCAGATAGCAAGAACTCATTTAAAAGTAAGTCCTCTCTAAAATTGTCTTAAATACGTTTAAAGATATATTTTTCTATTTATGTTAACGTCAAAATTATTAATTTTGTATCATAAGAACCTTAGAAAAATTACTAACCTTATTATAACAAGCGCAATTTAATTTAGCATAATCCAACTAAATATATTTTAGGTAAGTTCGTCATGTAGGGCGGGGGGTAATGGAACGTAAAGATAATCGGGGAATGTGGGAGTAAGGGATAATGTAGACAGGGGATAGGCAGGAGAGGTGTGGAGTGAGATGATTAGCGGAGGTAGGTAATGTGTGGTCAGTGGTGACTACACCTTCACCTCTCATTACTCTACTCACCACACTACTCGCCCTCACTACTTGAAATAAAAATGAGTAAATAACGGGGACAGTGAATATTACTATTCTACTCAAACAGTTTATTATTAAGTCCTTGTACAATAATATATTTGGGAACAGGACATTATTGTGGTTTAGATAAATGGGGTGGTACACATAAGCAGTGAGACAGGGAACACAATCAACTTGACGAAAATTATAACTTACAAACAATATAGTTCTGAGGACAGTTCGCCACAGGAACTAAGCCACAGGTCCCAAGACCTGCACAGCACGAGTACTGCTCCAAGCCAGTACCCCTCAAGGAAGGTTCCTTGATGTTGGTGAGGGGCTCTTGATTTAGGGAATTGGATCTGTGCTCCAGTTCCCCGAATTAAGCCTGAATGCCTTCCACATATCCCCCCCCCCCCAGGCGCTGTATAATCCTCCGGGTTTAGCGCTTCCCCCTTGATTATAATAATAATAATCCAAGCCAGTACTCTGCCCAATGTTTTCAACAGTCTCCTCCAGAGACTTCAGCAGCCTTCTCCTGACTCCTGCACCCCAGCAGCAGCTCCGCTCGAAGTCTCTCGATCATGCTCTTCCTCGGGCTTCTATGGTGGTCCAAGCACCCTCCACAATGAGGTGTGCACCACGTGTACGACCTGACGCAGAGATCTGACGCCAGTGACGAACAAAGGAGCTGAGACTTAAGCCGAAAAGGCGTGGCTGCTTAACCACTTGCCAAGGCAAGGTGACCATATAATTAGGTCTTCCTAGAGACCTCACAAGCCCAGCAGAACTACATCACAAGTTTACAATAATTTAAAAATAAACACAAATATATTTTTTTTCGTTAGTTTCAGAATGATTTTTGCGAAATTATTGCATACACAAATAATCGCTTGCCTTATTCGGCAAGAAGTGCATTGCTATTTATGCCAAAATCTCGTTTTACCTATTCGGCACGACATAATATATATATATATATATATATATATATATATATATATATATATATATATATGTCGTGCCGAATAGGCAGAACTTGCGATCTTGGCTTAATAGCAACGCTCATCTTGCCATATAGGACAAGTGAAAATTTGTGTATGCAATAATTTCGCCAAAATCATTCTGAACCTAACGAAAAAAATATTTCATTGTTTATTAGTAAAGTATTGTAAACGTATTTAAAATGTATTTAGTTGGGTTAGGCTAAAATAAATTGCTCTTGTTATAATAAGGTTAGGTAAGTTTTCTAAGATTCTTTTGGTGCAAAATTAAAATTTTTTACATTAACATTAATGAAAAAAATATCTAAACGTATAAGACAAAATTTCAGAGAACTTAATTTTAAATGAGTTCTTGCTAATTGACCAGTTTTACATATTCGGCATATATATATACATACATATAATTTTTTATTAGCACATAGGCCGTCTCCCACCAAGGCAAGGTGGTCTAAAAAAGAAACTTTCATCATTTACTCCATCTCTGTTATGCCAAAGATGCGCCTTCACTACAGTTACAAAACTGCAACATTCACACCATTCCTTCAGAGTGCAGACACTCTACTTCCCATCTCCAGGACTCAAGTCAGGCCTGTCGGTTTCCCTGAATATCTTAACGTTACCTTGCTCACTCCAACAGCACGTCAAGTCCTAAAAACCACTTGTCTCCATTTCCTCCTATTTAACATGCTCACACATGCCTGCTGGAAGTCCAAACCCCTCGCACACAAAACCTCCTCTACCTCCAACCTTTCCTAGGCCGACCCCTACCCCGCCTTCCTTCCACTACGTATTTTACACTCTTGAAGTCATTCTATTTTGTTTCAACCTCTTTACATGTCGAAACCACCTCAATAACCCCTCCTCAGCCCTTTGGATAATAGTGTGGGTAATCCTGCACCTCCTGCTAATTTCCACACTTTGATTATCTCTGCATTATATTCATAACATGTCCACTGCCTCCAGCCTTCTCCTTGTTGCAACATTCACCACCCATGCTTCACACCCATATAAGATCGTTGGTATAACTATACTCTCATGCATTCCCCTCCTTGCTTCCATGGACAAAGTTCTTTTTCTCCAGACTCCTAAATGTACCACTTACCTTTTTCCCCCTCATCAGTTCTATGATTCACCTCATATATCATAGGCCCATCTCCTGACACGTCTACTTCAAAATATCTGAATACATTCACCTCCTCCTCCATACTCACTCCCTCCAGTCTGATATCCAATCTTTCATTACCTATTTTTTTTAAACTACATCACCTTACTCTTTCTATATTCACTTTTAATTTTCTTTTACATACCTACCAAATTCATCCACCAATCTCTGCAACTTCTCTTCAGAATCTGCCAAAAGCACAATGTCATCAGCAAATAACAACTCTAACAACTCCCACTGTGTCAGAATATCTTTTAACCCTACATATCTTGCCGACACCCTCGCATTCACTTCTTGCAACTCCATCTATAAATATATTGAACAACCTCACTATCCTCTTAAAAACTTTTCACTGCTTTCAGTAACCTACCTCCTGTTCCATAAATTTGCAACATCTGCCACATTACCCCCCAATCCACCTTATCATACGCCTTTTCAAATCCATAAATGCCACAAAAACCACTTTACCCTTATCAAAATACTGTTCACCTGAACCATATGTTTCGCTGTAAACACTTGGTTCTCACACCCCCTACCTTTCCTAAAGCCTTCTTGTTCATCTGCTATCCTACTCTCCTTCTTACTCTTAATTCTTTCAATAATAACTCTACCATACACTTTACCATGTATACTCAACAGACTTATTCCCTTATAATTTTTTCCAGTCTCTTTTGTCCCCTTTGTCTTTATACATACATATATATATATATATATATATATATATATATTATATATATATATATATATATATATAATATATATATATTATATGCAGAACAGACGAAATATTCACAAACACTATTCTCTGGTCGAAGGAGACTCGAACCTACGCCTGTTCTGCGAATCCTAAACATTGAAAAAATCTCTCGTTGGTCGATGCATGCAGAAGATGAGATGAAATAGCTGACGCAACCTGCCTGAATGCTGGCTGCCTTGGATCAAAGCGTCTAGCGTTGGCTGGACGCCAAGGTATTGCTCCAGCGTGTACGGTGGTTAGAGCACTGTGTACCTTGTCCCAAGGTTCGTAGGTTCGAATCTCCTTCGACCTACTAAACAGGTGATAACACAAAATGCAGAACAACCTCTGTGGGGAGGGGGGAAAAAAAAAATACCGATCGCTTCCATGACTTCTCACATTATCAAGGAATTATCTCGGAATTGCGCTATTTATTTCTTCAGTGGTTGTTTTGCAATATATATATATATATATATATATATATATATATATATATATATATATATATATATATAATATATATAATATATATTATATATATTTATATATTTTATATATATAAAGTAGTCAAAAAAGCGGCTGAGGCATCCCTTCCGGTTTAGGCGTGCTGCAGACATCCCTTCCGGTCTAGGACCTTCTTCTGAGGCATCCCCTTTCACACCTAGGTGTTACTTCCGGTTTTGACCTTGACCTCGCCCTCGAGACTACCTCACCCTTGACCCCCCAACAATACCCCCCACCACGACCCCCCCTCGCGACCCCGGCTCGCCGCGCCCTTCGCGACCCCCCCCCCCGCGCGCCCGCCCGCGCCCTTCGCGGCCCGCGCCTTCTGCAGCGTCGTCCGGATCGTCCTGCGCCCCGATTTTTTTCAGATTTTTTTCGAATTTTTTTTGAATACCATTTTCTTGTGCTCTCCATCTCCTCGGATCAAATTTGAGAGGTTCCCCCTCTCACTTTCACCCCCATCCCAAAATTTCTCGAAATCAAAGTCTCCATCTCCTCGAATCAAGGTTTTTTGGATTGCCCCTCCTTCCACCCCCCACCCCCATCCCCCAATTCTCCAACTCCTCAGATCAAGTTTTTGGAATCCCCCCCCTATGGGGTAAGTATTCAAATGAACTCTTCCTATGGAGGCATGCTTACTACAGGTCTAAACAAGTCAAATGACCTAAGAAGGGTGTTTACTCGGCGGTCAGTGACGTCACGCGCACACAGGTTGAATCTTGTCGACCCTTTTAGTTCATTAAAGTTAATAAGGGGACATAGTAGTGACGTCACGCGATGACCGCGCACACAGGCTGAATCATGTCGAACTTTACCCCCACACATATACAACATAGGGAAACATTTTCACTCTTAACCCAAATTTTTCATCATCAGAAAGTCGCATTTTTTTCGTTAATACCCACAATTTCTTTACAAAATACAACATAACATTATCACAAAAAACTAACTCAAATTTTTCTCGTTTTAACCCTTTTAGTTCATTAAAGTTAATAAGGGGACACAGTACATCAGAAAGAGTCACAAAAACAACCCACTTATATCATCTTTTTCGGTATCTCTAATTCGACTACATTACCCACAACCCTCATCAATTACCAATTTATTCACATTTTTTCCCCCCTTCTTTTTACTGAATCTTAAAAGTAATACA